ACGCGTGTATAATTTTTATCGGCGACATTCTTCTGGATGAACGGTGAAAAAGAAAAGAGAAACGTTTCCATCGTTTCGCCGAAGAATTCGCGGATGAGTAATTTTCCAATATTTTTATCGCAAACTTGACGATTACGCGTCCGTGTCCTTGGCTGCATTTGCATTTACGCGTAAAAGGAATAACGTATCGTCGAGCAAGTCTGGCTTGACTCGTTTCGCGAGTAGGCGGTTCAACGATTGAAAAAAATCGCGCGTATTTTATACGAATTCGTTTTCCATTTGCTCGGCTCGAGTTGCGAGAGTACATCATCGATATTGTCGTATTGACAATTTCGTCGTACGTTGTTTCCCGTCCACGATGGGCCAAATGTATTTTCGTACCGTGTGCAGCGTGGCGGGGTCTCTATATCTCTCGGAATCTGTATCTCCAGAAAATCTGGGCCAAAACTCCCACGAAAGCTTGCACGGATCATTTTTCTCAACGGTGACGACGTCGTCGTAAAAAAATTTCAATCATTCCGGACGCTTGAGAAGCGAAATCGAAATCTTCGTTGATCTAGCGATCGATGTATCAATTAAAAGTTACAAGATACATTGCTTGCAAGTTCTTGACATCTGACGAGGAACACGACCTCCGTATTTTCTCGGCCAAATTGTGCCAAGTTTAAAGCGTTTATTGTTCGACGATAATTCCGCTCCACCTCGGGCTTGCTTCATAAAAGTAAGAAGCTTCGGTCGACGCGTTTCACGTGTTGTGTAATGTAAACCGATAATGTTCGAGATACTATTGAACACAATAACTACCTAGGAACGAAGATAATCGGACAGTTTATTTAGGCTGATAACCAGCAAGTCGGTAAACAATGTTGAATGCAATTCTTGCCAGGTAGTTGGCGATTGCCAAGCATTGACAAGGAGCTACCAGACGACCGTGCCAGGATTCTTTGGTGCTCATCCTCCGTCATTGAACCGTTGCTTACAGATGTTGATTTATTGACTAACTAGAAGACGTTCAATCATTTTATTACTTGATGTACTCAGTACTTGCAGATATAACGGTGGACAAAGTCGAATACAGAGATAGTCGATACAGAGATCACTTCAGAATACGAATACCAGAATATTCCAAAGTGATCCTCAGACGGCCTGGATTAAGCACGATCTATTTTCTCGAGTTTGATCCCAGCGTTCGCGGAACAAATCCCATGGCTCAGATGCGGGCTTCGTGGAAAGCCGGAAACTCGCGGTGATCTTTTTCTATCGCTGGCCGGAATTACGAGGTTGCAGCCGGTGCAGCTGGCGACATCCTGCTTGAAATTCGCGGTCTGCGCCGCGCTGCTTTTGCTATCGCTCGTAAACAAATCTTGCCCCGTGCAACTCTTCGCCGCCCGGTGATTACGTTTTCTTTCGCCGTGTGCAACACGGAGTTTAAGCACGGAGTCGGACCTCCGCCAGACATAAACAGAATTCGACGCGACGACTTATTTTCGATTTATGACGGAAATATCGCCGATACCGTGTCGTTCGCCTCTTTCTTCTTCTTTCCGTCCCCGCCTGCCTTTCTCGTTTTCTTTCGAAGGAAAACGAAAAAAAAAAAAAATGTACGACAGAGCACGGCTACCGGGGGGGGGGGGACCATTCCATCGCGAATCGATTCTCGCCAAATGTATTTACGAAAGTATCCGCTTCAGTGTTTACTCGGAACGACTTGAAGCTTCGTAATTTGCCTCGCGTTCGTTTCACGCGCCGCGGTGCTTCATTTTTCAAACGGGGCGAATTCTGCAAATCGTTCTCCTCCCACGCGGCTGGCAAAATCCCAGCTATTGCCACACTCGTGTGTTAACCTTTGTCGGAAGGAACTCTCTCCTTTGGACAGGCAAGATATTTTCGTACGTGCCTGGGCTACCTGTTAACGTCAATCATTGCGTGATATTATCATCGTACTCTTTTGAAGATGCTAAAGAACTCGTCAGAATTTCTGACAAAAAAATTGATCAAACGTGTATTTAACAACCGTAACAATTATGTTATCGTTTCTATCGGGTACTCGCATTGCCACTTACAGCCTTGAAGATATTATGAATAATTGATCAAACGCATATTTAACGACCGTAATAATTATATTATTGTTTCTATCGGGTACTCTCATTGCCACGTACAGCCTTGAGATTATCGTCGAATCGTTCCTCGAGGAAGACACGTAATTTATTCTCGTTAAAAGTAGATTTTCTATTCGTTTAAATAGGTATCAAACCGGCGATGAAGCTTTCAGCTTTAGATTACTGATGATACACGAGCGAAACAAATTGAAATAATCTAAATAGACTTTTGACGACTACGAAGAAGTATCGTAACTATTAGACATCGAGGTTCACAGCGGCGTAGTAGAAAACGTTAATAAAACGCGTTATCGGCGTTAGCGATGGTATAATCGGCTAATGACACGCGAAATTTATGTCGAGTCCTTCCTCGGGCATGATAATGCGGCTCGTACGCATCATTTGCCAACGAAATATCGCGTAACAACGCGCCCACGTTGCACCGACTGCAACGTGCGCGGAATCACGGAAACTCGCGCGCAAATGCGCGCAGCTGTTTGCTGCAGATTACAAGAACGAGACTTCTATCCCGTACAATTATTCACTGTTCCAAGATCGTGCCAAATCTTCTATACGTACGGGATGATCTATCGTTTTTTTAACTTATGTTAGTCGGGACTTGCTTCTCAACTTGGTCGGGGGACATGTCTCTGTCGTTTGCCAGAGTGAAAAGATTACACGCGTGCGAGCACGTTTCGAATTTCATGTAGCCGTGGCTCGTCGATAAGGGCTTGTGTCTCGTTGATTGTTCTTTTCTCGCCCTTCTTCGCGAGGGTGCATCGACAATCGGTATTTTTATCGATCGGCACGAAAATTTATTTTCCACGGTGACCAACGCGCGGTCCAGGAAGCTCGAAGCTTCGTCGACGACATTGTCGTCGTCGTCGTCGTTGCCTTCGTCTTCGTCGTTGTCTTCGCGAGCGGGGCTCGACCCGGCTTGCGCGTTTCGCAAAGGCACCTTCTAGAAATAGAACGCCCAAATAATTTGCCTCGGATT